GCATCTCTTTATTCGGAGGGTGGTGATGCGGTCCATGCAGATGATGAACGAATCTGAAGTTTGATGTGATGCTTCAGGACACGAACATGTGAGATATTACCACATGAAATCACACTCATATTCAGGATGAGCATCATTAAGAACTGGACTCATTTCCTCAAACTGATTTAAAGTAACAGCTTGTAGATTTCAATCAAATTTGAATTTAGGGAAGAAGAAATATTGCTTATGATTAAACATATTCATGCATACAAAATATGGAGAATTTACAGCAACGTTTGATGACATTAATAATCAATGTTTGAAATTTGCATTCGTGTATTCGGCTGAGGCGCTTATCCAAAGCGATTTGCATTCAAGCTTTAGTTTTCCTCAGATTTTCTCACGCAATCCCTGGGTATCAAACCCATGACCTTGACGTTGCGAGTGCCATGATCTACTATTTGAGCTACAGGAATGCCTCCTATTACAATATATTAACACTTTAATATTTTCCCAGAATGCTCTAATTTACTCCAAAATCTTCCAAATGGAGCCAAACCACCAATGGATGCTCTGCAGTGAATGGGTGCCGTCAGAATGAGAGTCCAAACAGCTGATAAAAACATCACAATAATCCACAAGTAATCCACAGCACTCCAGTCCATCAGTTAACATCTGGAGAAGACAAAAGCTGAAACTAATCCAGCATTAAGACGTTTTTAACTAAAATACATTGAGTCCATAATCCATAATAACTCTTCCTCCAGTGAGTCAGTGTTCTGGTGTGAATCAGGAGAGAAATCTGCACAGATCAAGCAGCGTTTAAACAGCTCTAAACACATACGTGGCTGGATTTTGATGCGAGAGACAACAGCAGATGCACTTTTTCACTGGAGGAAGAGTTATTATGGATTATGGACTCAATGTATTTTAGTTAAAAACGTCTTAATGCTGGATTAGTTTCAGCTTTTGTCTTCTCCAGATGTTAACTGATGGACTGGAGCGCTGTGGATTACTTGTGGATTATTGTGATGTTTTATCAGCTGTTTGGACTCTCATTCTGACGGCACCCATTCACTGCAGAGCATCCATTGCTGAGACACTGATGCAATGCTGCATTTCTCCAAATCTGATGAAGAAACAAACTCATCCTGATCTGGGATGGACTGAGAGGGAGCACATTTTCAGCAAACTTTCATTTTTCGCTGAAGTATTGCTTTAAGCAGATCCATGTCTTTCCACTCTATCTTTATTTAATCATGTAAAAATTAAAACTGCAGCAGACTCAACAGTCACAGGTCATCAGGTAACATGTTTTACACATATTTCTGTTTTTATAGTCAGTGTTTCTGCTGCTTTATTAGTTCTCAGTGTAAATGAATGCAGTGATGGAGCATTTTTCTGTCATTATCAGCAAACCCGCACACAGATGCTTTGCCTTAGAAACAAATTACATCTGAGCGTGAAGAAACAGGCACGCTGCCATCTCATAATTACAGTAATTCCAGCAGCATTAGTGCAGGAAAACACATTCACATGCAGATCTCTCAGCGTGCTTCTCACTAAACACACAATGTTCAGCAGCTTCAGATCAATCAGTTTACCTGCAGCATCTGTGAGCAAAGCTCGTCTCACACACTTCACACGAGTGAACACACACACACACCAACACACTCACACACTCGTCTCACACACACACACACACACACACACTCACACCAACTCTCACACGCACTCACGCTCTCACACAGTCACACACACACACAGTCACTCTCACACTCACACACACACAGTCACACACACACACACACACACTCACTCTCTCTCTCTCTCTCACACACACACACACACACTCACTCTCTCTCTCTCTCTCACACACACACACACACACTCACTCTCTCTCTCTCTCTCACACACACACACACACACTCACTCTCTCTCTCTCTCTCACACACACACACACACACTCACTCTCTCTCTCTCTCTCACACACACACACACACACTCACTCTCTCTCTCTCTCTCACACACACACACACACACTCACTCTCTCTCTCTCTCTCACACACACACACACACACTCACTCTCTCTCTCTCTCTCACACACACACACACACACTCACTCTCTCTCTCTCTCTCACACACACACACACACACTCACTCTCTCTCTCTCTCTCACACACACACAGTCACTCACACTCTCTCACACACACACACACACTCACTCTCTCTCTCTCTCT